TCAAATATATTGTTTAAAATTGCACCGCTAGGTCAACTCGTCCGGTGGGTCTAATTACATATAAAATTACAGAAACGAAGCAAATGTATAAGAATTGGGATTTTTATTATATATCTTCAAATTATTTTATAAAAAGCTAATTCAAATTAGACTGGTTCTATTTTATTAAAGTTAATTTTCATGAATTTATTGAAACATCAAAAGTTACATTCAATAACACGATTGAATAAGGTAATCGTCTGAACTTGGATGGTGAAGAAGCTGTTGCGCGTTTCCGCAAAATAAGAATCTGTCACGCGATTTTCCATCACCGAGGGGCGTTCTTCCGAAATAAGTGATTTCCCCTTGTCGTTTGCAGTGACAGAGGTCGCGGCGAACTACATATCGACGACGGGAGTTGTTTTACGAGCTTGGTCCCGACAGTCGGCGACGACGAGAATCAGCGTTGCTGCCGACTGTTTGTCGGTCCGTTTCGTGGTCCAGACGTGGCAAACACACGGACGGAAACCGATTGCGGAACGCACGCCACCGGCCGCGGCCCCCATCTCTCTGCGTAGCAAATTAAAAATCAATTTCAGGACACGGTAATTCGAAAGTGTTCAACCCGTCGCCGTGTCGTCTGTTTCTCTTGACGCGTACCGAGTTTTAGTAATTTACCGGGAGTTTGAATGTCGCGTACGCGAGTTCCATTAGCGACTTTCGACTGCGAGCTACTAACGGAAAATTGCAGCCCTTTATTACGCTTTTCCTAATAACGTTCGTTATTTGTATTTACGTTATTTGCAAATGAAAGAAGGAAATGCTGTTTTTTACAAGATAATAGCACTTACTGTTTGAATAAATAATTTATATAAAGTAGTCTTTCGATGATATAAGGAGGTGAATATATTCATGTGATGATTGAAACCTCCTTGCATAAAGAAAATCAATTATCTGTAGAATATATGTAATGTTCGGTTGGATAGATACTGGCGCAGTGAAAGGGTTAAACGCGTAATGTAGCAGCTTAATCCGCATTGACAGTTTAATTAAAAGTCGTTTGACTGCGAATTTTAAACGCGACAGTGAAATTTCGCTACCGCATCGCTTCTGTACACAGGATTTTTTCCTCTTTCATTCACGGTTCACTTCTTTCCACAGTGAACGAATGCACATACGATATGAGGGAATTTTTGTTAAGCTTCAATTAATCGCTAAACGTATCTATTTCGCGAATGATCGAAAAAAGCGGTAAAATTGTTTGGTTTTCAGAAAGTAATAAAAAATATTTGAAACGAAATATTTGAATAGAAATAAACTATTTTAGAAATTGAGCTGAATTATAAAGGAATATCTATCTAATATAATATAAAGGAATCTTGTCTTTAGCTCGTTATAAAAGACAAGAGTAATAGAAGGTTATGAACAATTTCAGGAACGTGATTAAATAGATTTAATTTCTCTATATTCCATGTATTTTTAAGCACTCTGCAAAATTATCCATTACTTAAGACCAACACGAAACACCTCATACGCAATATTCAGTTTACTAAAACACGTATTTAATTTCACACATGCATCTGTTTCACAGTTGAAAACTTAGTTCTTCAATTCTCTAACCAGCTAATATTGAAACGTGGAGGGTAGGTATCCACACGTATAACCGCAGAGCACGGTAGGAGTCCTCCGCCGAATGAGAACCGTTCTCTGTATAAATGTTTAAAACTTTCTCAGGGATACGTGCTGAATTCGCACGATGAGAGAGGTCAGCCAATGGTACTTGTATTTTCGTACCACAGAAGTGCGCCGGTTCAGGAGAATCTTCCGATTACGTTCTCCCTCTCTCTCTCTCTCTCTCATTTTGTTCGTGCAATTTAACTATTAGCTGCACAAGTTTCCCGTCTCGTATAAGAAAACGCAAGACACGATAACTGTGAAGCTAATAAAAAATTTCAATTTCTCATACATTATGTTAAAGTGTTTGTACATTAATAATAATTTGTTCCCTTACGATCACTTTAAAAAATCATTTCATATGCGAGCACAATAGTATAGAAATTTTATCTACAAGGATTAGCAATGGTCACAATGGAAGTACGTAGTTAGGAGCACGTCCACACATAGTTTGAAGTATACACTGCGTTTATACATATAAATTGATTTCAGAAATCAAATTTATAGACGCACTCATCTGGACAGAACATATGCAGTAGACTAACACTCTCTTCTCTATCCTTGAGTCACCTTTCGTTCTCTGTCGACGTGTATTCTTGCCTACTTGTAGCTTCTTTTTTCGGTGCTTTCAAGCAATGCTCCGGCAGCGAAACGAAGTTTTCCGGGGGAACTAAAGTCATTTCGTTCGCGCAATCTAAGTTAAGTGACTTTCGAGAGCCGGGACGACTAAACTCGCCTCCGGTGGGTCGCACGATGCGATCAACCCTTTATCTGCCTCGCTCTTGCTCGCTTGCCCTCCTCTCCTTTGCAAGTTGCACACGGTTGCACGAGTGTTAAAAGGGAAGGGCGCGGACGGGAAACCCAGATCTAACGAGGATTACGTCGTCCGTTAGGTTCCACGGGTGCTTAGCTTGCTGAGAAATCGACTCTAAAGCCACCATTCTTTCCGTCGACGTACCGGCACCATGGTTACACGCCGTTCCGCCACGAAGATGTCCTTCGCCCTGCGCGACGGCTGCGAAGGAAGACTAACGATTTAAAGTTGCATCGCTTCGCATCAGACATTTTTCAACGTGACACCCGCCGCGGTCTCACCCTTAAAAGGTGCGCGACAGGCGGCTGAGAAGACTGTACCTTTGTGGGGCTGACGACTGATAAGTTTGAGATAAGTATTCGCGACACGCTGAATATCTTGGCCGACGTTGTTGAACTCGAGACGATCTACCATTACCTCGAGGATTCCAGTGAAAGGGTTTCCTGCCTCTTACAGCTACTAGAAAAATTGTGAATTTTCGAGGATCGAGTTTACAACTGGCTGGGATAAAATGACAGCCGCTCTTCTCTCTCGATTACTTTCACCTTTCAAACAGCGAATGAAATATTTCTCTTTTGTTACATAAACAATACTTTCCGCAAAATAAAGAGACATATATGAAGATTCATTACAGGTATAGATTACGATTCCTCTTTTTATACATGAATAAAGTCTGCATATTAATGAACTTGAATGGTCTCAAAAAGATTATGTAGTCACGTTACAGATGATGCGAGCTGCAAAGCCTATCAGAGTTAATCGTACTTTGATCTGTAATCGTTTCAATTCAACCCTTTCTGTACGCGTACGGTTATTAAGGTAAAAACGTGGAAAAGCCTATAGATATTCAAAGCGTAAGATCATTGACACTAGAAATGAGCGATGGGGCCATTTCGAGCGGCTCGTGGAGATCGACGCGGTTCCCGCGAGATTGGCTCGATTTTCGAAGAGTCACGAGCGTACACTCGCTCGTAAATACAACTATTCCACTCTTTCCCCTGTTCTCCCGTTAACAGAAAACTGACGCGTCCAAGCTGTGTACATAGAAGAGGGCTACGGGCACAGCCGGATAGAAGCGCATGAATCATAGAAGCGTAAAGTGATATCGAATGGAATGGAGACTAAGTACGTACACACCGGAGCCGTTCGCCCGCTTTCTCTCTTTGTGTGCATAGCTGTTGACCATCAAAAACGTACCGGCGCCCGACTCATCGCGGATCGCTAGAATCGGCGAGGTGCGCCGGAGCGATTTTAACATTTGGCACGAAGAAAACGTGGGAAACCCCGCGAGCCAGGCGTACATCGAAGAGAAACAGTGGTAACGAACGAATAAGAATCAGCATAGCTGGATGGTATTTATTTATGCCAGTTTACGTTTGAACGCGATTATCGAGCGAACGCTGAAACGCTCAAAGCATTTATATGATTTATTAAACCGCTAACAAGATGTGAAACTTCAAAAGATGAAATTTATTCCATAACTTGAACTGTTTCATTTTTAATCAGATCACAATTTGCATTACACCCCCTCTGGCAAACGAATTCGCGACGTTTTTTTTCAGTGCGCTGCTTGATATTCCATTAAGAACGCCGAATGAGAGGGATTCGATGTGATTAACGCAGGTGCGCACGGCTAAATTCGACGTCGTTCATCAGGGTCATTGTTAATTCGGCAATTATACCCGTTGGGTCGTGACTCGTTACCATCTAGCCGGTTATACGCACTCGCGCAACGCTTCTAATTAAAAGTTTACGGTACGCCATGGCGACTGTCTGTTTTTCCGTATATTTCGATGAAACAGCATTTACTTCGGATCTCAATTAAGATACCGCTGGTACACGTTGTTATCCCGTTGTTATCCCGCTGTTAGATTTGTTTAAACAATTCGATATGTTTGCTTTTACTACATACTTAATCCTGGCTTTCGTTCGCATTCGATGACAATGGAACAATTAATTGGAATCCTAATGAGACCCATTATAAAGTTTCACCCTCGGCCAGTTCTTGTATTTTTAAATTCGACTGGAGAACGAAAATAGTGACTCTAATTTTCAATAGACAGCGGTTCGTTAAGAGTGAGATGGAAGTGAAATTTTGTTTTACTTTCATCTCAACTGGAATACCTAATTGCGGAAAAGCGACTTATGCAAGACACTCGATCTTCTAGGTGATAGGTAAAATACTTTATATAATTTTTTTAAACTACGTCTTGTTCAATATTAATAGAAAAATTGTTCTTAGCATTTTGTGTGACAGAAACAAAACTATTCTCAGATGTTTACGTTTGTTGGTATTAACTTCTAAACCGCGGTATCATCCCCTTCATAGTATATTTTAATGACTTGGTTCCTTAAACTGTTCCTCTTTTGTCAATTATAAAGACATGCGCTGCCATTATGGTCCCAACAAAAATACCTACTAACTAAAAAAAATGGAAAAAGTTTGAATTATGACACTGACAATGTTATAATATTAATCTCAATTTTCTCAGTGTCTAGGTGATGAAAATACAGTTTTTAGGCAATTACTCACCCAATAGTTTCATGACCTGGGATTGGCTGATGAAGATGTTCAAGTATCCATCGCTGCAGCCGACCAGAATCAAAAATACGAAGAACTTATACCGCAATAGATCACACGATCCATCACCCCACCGCATTGTTTCACATAATAATATCCGGTAGCGTAATCATGCGCGTACCACTAAACACGTGACAATGAAATGGAAAACGGTAACGTCGATAAAATCCTCTCGATTTTCCTCGCGGCAGCGAAAGTCACTCGCGTCTCCTTTACGAGACGCACGAACATCATTCGACTTTTACGATTATAATACAAGAATCTTGTCAAATTTTACTACTTCGACGCCAGACGTTTTCAAGTCCCCTCAAAATTGGCGGTCATCTATTCTCAATGTCAAATTAATTGCTATTTCTGTGGCAGTTATCGAGGCAGTATATTATTGTAGAGAGCTCCCGCGATTGTTGCAATTTATTATCACGATGTTCATTCATGGTCGAGTGATCAAAGAGGAACGACGACGGTCACATGGCTAGGCAGTCAACGAGAATCGGAAAGGGAAAGTACGGGACGAATGGAAGGAACGACCTCGGCGTCGTCGACGTCGGAACGCAACTGACGGACGCCGGTCGGTGAATTGAAGGCGCGATGCGACGCGCGCCTGCGCTCGCTGCGAGGGTGCGACGCCGAATACGCAAACAAGCGACGAATCGGTGGGTGAATACGCGACGCTCTCTCGCACTCGTACGCTTTGCGAATCGCGGTAAGTGTAAGTCACACCTTCGGATAACCGGCCACCCGTGACGCGCCGGCAAAATCGTCAAAATATCGGGAAACGGGGAAATTGCTATACAATGCTCCTCTTTGATTTCCTCCCCCCGGCTGAAACGGACGGGGGTAGGAATTTTTGTAACAGTTTTTCTGAAAAATAGCACTTTCGTTGTGTACAGTTGATGTTAGATTAGAGCATTCCAATTTTAAAAATATATTTATTAAACTAGTCACAGATTGATTTATATTTAAAATATTCCTTATTCATTAAATCCAAACTTGAAACGTTTGATGTTAAAACAACAATTCGTGAAAAATTGTAAAAGTTATTTGACACAGAGGGACTTACTGAAATTTCACACCAGGCGAGGTGACGATTTCTGATCCTCTGCGAAAATTAAATTGAATAGTTGACAAGAATAGCTTTGAAGTTTTCGCGTGTCTCGAGCATAAAAATATTGCAACATTACAAATAATGGAAATATATTCATGACATTCGAGGATTTTATTACAAATAGGTAAGTAATTCCTTTGCCGAAATTATCGTGAGTATAAAAATATTTTACTATTTAGTGAAACCAGACTATAATCCACGTTAGTGAAATAAACTCCTTCCCTGGAATCTCCGATTTTCAATCGGCATTTCTATGGAAAACGCATAGCAGTTTGAAAATGGTAGAATTTAATTAAAGCTCCTTTCTCTCTCTCCGGCCATTAAATTCATTTCTCTCTCGGCCTGTTGCCTCTCCTCCGCCACTGTTTCCCTTTTCTCTCTAACGTTCATCCCGCCGCTTCTCTCCGTCTCTCGCACGCATCTTCGTCTCTGTCGTTCTTTTGCCGCTTGTTTCCATCTCGCAGTACAACTGCACAAGAGCACCATGCACAGTTTGCAACTAGGATTCACGATTTGATCTTCGTCAGTTTAACTTTCATGGTGAAGCACCGTATCTTGCCGACGAAACGGGACTTTAATTATACCATGGGGTTAATTAATTCCGTCAAATCCTACGAAGTGCGCCTCGGTATCCACTTTGCTTTTTCCCCCTTTTCTGTTCGTTCTAGCGAGCTTCGAACCTGGAATTTATCCCCTCGACACGCGAAATATATCGTAGATTTTGCACGTAACATTTACAGAACGCATCGTTGAACTTCCCAGTTTTACGATATGGTGTTAAGGGAAAGTTTACAAATTATGTTACACTTCCTCTCCGAAACAACATCCTTTATATTCCCTTATCAAATCGAGATGGAACTTCTTCAATGTTCCTTTAACGTATAAAGAAGAAGTATATATGCGCTGGTTAATTATAATGATTCTTAGCTAATATTATATAATAGGAAAAACATCTGTGTAAAAATCGCTGTGATCCTGGATAATTAATGCTAGCATTGAGAAATGTTTCTTCACACGGATGACTGATAACGTAAAATTGCTTTCGGATTCAGAGTATCTTCTTATTTATTCGAATCGAAGTGAGCAGGACGCGTGCAGTGAGACGGAAGTTTAATTATACCGGCGGAATTAATTAACTCCGTGAAATCTCGCGGAACACATCCGGGATCGATCTGCAACTAATTAATGTTCAATCTGTTTTTTCTTCCTCTGGTTCTGCAGCTTCTCTTGCGTCCTATGAACTTCGTCGTATTTATCGCGATCAAAAAAGTTGTATAAAAGCAAAAGAATAAAATAAATGTTTGAGTGCTTGTTAATTCAGTAGATAAAAAATCTTAGCACAGCCACTAGAATTAAAATATTATTTTACTTGTTCCTATGGTAAATATCAATTATTTATTTAAAAAAAAGTTAAGTGTTCAAACATTTTATACGGCTGCGCATCCCGCATCGCAAGTCACTATTTCCGAGCGAGCACTCCTAAGGTTGAGGAATACATAAACTGTGAAATGCAGCAGGTTCGTGAGTTCTGCATCTACTTTGCATAAGATACAGGATGATATTTCCAAGAGAACGAGCGTTACACAGCTGACATCAATATTAATGCACGAACGAAATTTGCGAAAAATGAATTTGCACAATTCTGCACATTATTACGCTAAATAGCTTACGTAGAGATGAGTGCGGAATACAATTGCGGTCGAATGGACTAGGTGTTATCATCGGTAACCCGAGGCATTTTATCAAACGTCCCTTTGACGATGAAACAATTGTCGAAACGAACACCTGTAAAGGCTGGATGCACGCCGATATAAATATGACTGCGCGAAGTCATCGAGCGCGAACAGCCGGATCCGGTGTGCGCGTGTACGTAGAATTGAGAGAGGGTGGATGTAGGTAGCCGAATCCATTAAATATTTGAACTGACGAAACAGCCGAGGGAAGGAAAGACTCCCGGAGGAAGTCCCCCTTCGGCTCTTAGCCACCATACAGTATCTGACTCGCTGTATTAATATTTACATTTACATTTCTTCATCGTCCTTCCTCTTATTTCAACTTGATACCCGCGCGCTGCAGCTTTTAGGACGCAACCGGCTTGAGTTATCGTTCCCGTTTCACGTATTATAATGGCAAATATTCTTTGTCAGAGCACACCCCGTCGAATGATCCTGTCTTAACCATAAGACAGCTACTGGCTTTAATCGCAAATCTGTATTTGCTGAACGTTTTAAAGATGGGTTCAACTTAAGAAGAAAAGACGATAAAAATCTATGTGATGATTTATCATTTTATTAACATTCGAGTGTTTATATACATTTGTGAAATAATCATTTGCTGCACTTCGTTAAGAGGTTCTCTTAACACTTTTTTCCTGCCTCGATGCAGTAGAGCCGGGATTCTCGAGAGAGTACACCGGAATAAATAACAAAAAATGTAAATGCAGCATCGGTAAAATATTAGCATCGGGTGTAATTAATTAATCATCGTATCGGAAGGAGAGGTATCTGCTTGGAGGTTTGAATTTTTAATATCGGACAGAGGGAAGGACGGACCGGAAGTGAGAGTTGCGCGTTTGGAATACCCCCGGGACGACCGGGAGAGGCTGTCCCAGGACGCTCCGCGGAAGAGGACGGTAACGATCCGACACGTTGGTAATGAAAAGAGCGAATAAAATTAGCGGTGAATTTATTTAATTAACGATCACCGGTACACTCGCCATGAAATTCATTCGACGCTCGCTGGATGAATAGGACGAGTGAACAAATATCTGTATCGAAGGGGCAGCCGGTGCGAAACTAACGAGGTCCTCGAGACGGTTCCCTCCAATCAGCCAGATCATTAACTCTGACAATTAATAATGATTGGAAATCGATCAGTTCGTACGGTTCGTTGCCGATTGTTTCAGCACCATCGCGCACGGTGCTACTTTTTGGAAATTCGCTAGTGGAAACGTGTGTATTGCCACCGAAGTGGTAATTGTATCGAGCACGGTTATATACAGTTCTTTTGTTAATGCGCTAATGATTCGTCAACTGGTGCAAGAGAGCGTCGAGTAGATTTATGTTTAACGAGTACGTGTATCAAACAATTATTCAAACGCTTGTAATTAATACCGTCGACAAATAGTGGATTCGTGGAAATGTGCATAGAGACACTTCACAGTCGAATAAACGTAATAAATACGTTCTAAAATCAAATTAAACAAGAACTCAAGTATTAAATGAAAATTAATTGAAGTACTTGTTCATGTGCTAAGTATTTCTACCTTGTTGCAAAGTATATGTCTCTTGGGGAGTTGTGAATGGTAATTGGTTCTAAGTAAATAAATAAGTGAGCACATACGAGTACGCGAGGCAAACAGGAGAGGAGCAACGATGGGCGTTGAAAACACGCGAGCAATCCATTTAAATCATTCAGGATACTTTCAATGGTTTCCCCGTAAAAGCGTGATCCAATGCTACAAACTTCGCAGGCGTTCGTTCCGAGGATTTCGTTTTAGGACATTTCCCGTTTTTATTGTGGACACGTCGCATCTTTATACCACGTAGTTGTCAGATAAAAAAAAAAGATCTTATGTAGTTTCCTCCTAACTCCACTTGTTAAGAAGTATTTGATGATGAACGACATAATTAATCGCTTACTTCTAAAGTATTCGACATAGAAGAGAATTGTATACGAGAATTGTATACACCTACAAATTTTGTTTGAAACATTTTTCGAAATTTTTATTTTTGTATTAAAAATTATAAATAAATGAGTGAAAATTCATTAAAACTAAATTCGTTGAATAATTTAAACTCCTTCGATTTACGGATAAATTGGGTGGCAAGGGTAACGGGATACTATTAACGCCTCCGTTTTCCGTCGGATCGACCGTGACCTCTGCCGTTTGAAAGCCTCGGCGCCCAGTCGATTTTCCGTTCTGGCGGACGTCGTTGGCCGAAAGCAAATCCGGAGAAATTCCGGCAGGACTGATTGGGCGTCGGTGCGAGCGAATGA